GGGGGCTGCCGTGGCCAGGGCTGTCCAGGGCCGGGGACTGTCCAGGGCCTGGGGTCCCAAGGGGGTGGGGCGGGGGGTCGGGCACCCCTGCTTTGAAAGCGGACACTGCCCTGCGTGCCTCGGCTGCTCGGGTTCTCGGAGCAGAGGTGGCACACCCCGAGCCTCGCCCGCTCACTAGCACAGCCGTCTAGGGAACGCCCCTCTCAGTGGCCAGGGTACCTGCCTATCAGCGCCTCGTTTAAAGTGCTGACCGCCCAACTTGGAGCCGCTCGGCTTGTGTAACCAGGGGAAAGTTCGTGTGCGACATGGGTTGTTCACTCAGCCAGATAAAAAGGGCAATTTCCATACCTCAGCTGTCCGCTGTTCACTGGAATGACTTGTGCCAAGAGACGGAGTGGTGAATAATCTAGAGGTCAGTTGGGCATCTTACAGAGAATCAGTCTCTCTGGTCTGAGTTTCATTCAGACCTTTCTTGGCATGAGGGCTACAAATCACCAGACCTTTGACCGTGGAGGGCCACTGGTACTGGTCTGCATGTGTTTTCATTTGGTGGAAAATTAAGTTTATACCAGAGGAGGACCTCTTGGCACCCCTGGAATATTACCTCAGGGCAAACATTTGTTCTCTTGCTGCCATGTTTAACTTCTGTTCTGACACACCTGTTCACGGCTACGCTGTTGGAGTAAATTGTTGACCTAAAATGCTGAGTTCTAAAGGCCACAGCTGTATTTAGTGAGAATGAGCTCCTTTTTGTAGGTCTGAAATCATTAGAACAGCATATCCGATTGTAACTACCCTTGGTGTTAATTATTTAAACCCTATACCACTCAGGATTTTTATACGGCATTGTTTTCCCTGAGCCCCATACCTTTAATCTGTAACAATGGGCAGCTGGCAGAGAGATCTGAAGTTCTGAAGCAAACCTTCGAGAGAAGACTCGGGAGGGAGGAAAACCCCAGTTAACGTGGAATCCACCCAAATAACGCCAGGTGTCTAGGCGGCCTAGCTCGGGTCTGGAAGAGAACTGATCAGGTTTAGGGAGCGCACTTCCTGTAATGCGATCAAGTGTGCGAAGGAGCTGGGCTCAGCAGCCCTCCTTGGTTTCGTGCTCAGTACATGCTGCCTCTCCCGGAGCCAAGTTCTGAACATCACATACTCAAGTCCTGAACTGACCCGCTTGAGACCCCCAGCCAATTGAGACTCCACAGAGGAGCCTGAATTGCTGGAGGAGGCGTGGCTTATCCTTTGACAACCCCCACAAAGCTCCCCCAGGCTGGGAGTTCCTCCCCTGCCCCTGGGATGGAGAGAGCGTGCCAGCTGGTTCGCGTCGCTGCCCTGCCTGCTGTTCGGCAGCACAGCTCTGATGGGGTGTTTCCCAAATCCTCAGTAACTGCTGATGTATCTACCCATCACGAGTGTGCAGCTAGCGTGAACCTCTTCAGAGAGGAAATCTGACCCAGGGTACGTCCAGTCCAAGGGTGGGCTGAAGATCTCTTCAAACACAAACCCTGTGACTCGGAAGACCCTTCCACACAAAGTGGGGCTCTGCTCACTCCAGGGCACTGTCACCTCCGATGAGGGGAGGATGTGTAACTGCTCTGAGCTGGGAGACTGTCCAAGAGATGCACCATTAAAAGAGACTGGATTGCTGGCTTAGGAAATTCTTAGTTTTGGAGGGATATTTGGGGCCATGAATAAAATTCCAGAGGAACGCCAACGTCTTACCAACGACAAAGACTTGTAACCTGAACCAGAAAAGATTCTCAGATATACACTTGTGGCGAACATGCAGAAACCACAGAAGATGAGAAAAGCTGCCTTTGGCTCTTTCCCTGGTGGAGGAGTGGATCCTGCCTGCTGGCGTCCGGCCTCAGGCAGGGATCCGGCCTTCACTGCACAGGTGCGCCCTGTCTGCCCACCTCAGGTCCAGAAAAGCAGGTGGTCAGATCCTCCTGGGCCGGTGCAGGGTGCTGGGGAGGAACTAGCTGACGGCCACGAACAGGTGGGAGGAGGAGGACAGGCCAGCTGCACGTCCCGCTAGGACTTGGGGCCTCACTGCCTGGTACCTCTCTTCCAGGGAGAGCCTCCTCTACGGTGGTATCCTGCTGCTGCGTCCCCGCGTCCCTGCGTCCCCAGGCCTCCACAGGCCTCCACAGGACGACTCCTGAAGTTGGCCCTCGGCTCCTGCCTTTTGCTCCTTTAAGCCCCAATCCCACCCCCACCTTTCCCGTGAGCTCCAAGTGGTAATTCCACTTTCAGGTGGGAGGTTGATAGAGCTTCCTCCAGTGGAGCAGGCTGGCTCCCTCGCCCTCCTGCTGGTCTCCCAGGGCGGGGCGGGGGGAGCAGGAAAATGAAGCCCCTCACTTGGAAAGCTTATAAACTCGTTTTTTAGCATAGACAAGCACGAAGTATCCAGAGCTCAGGGAAGTTGTTCGGGGATATTTAACTGTCCCCCAAGAGAGAGAAATGCATTCTCTTTGAAGAAAAAGGAAAAAGGCACCTTTCTCTTTGTCTTATAACTGGTACCTGGGTCGGGGGATGCCACCTGCCTGCGGTCACTGAGGATGTGCCCAGTTCTCTTGCTCCAGCCTAGGACATCCCCGGGGGGGAGCCCCAGCCCCACCCTGGAGCCCACAGGGGGCCCTGCCAGGTAGAGGGACACCTGGGGAGGTATTAATGGAAGCCAGGCAGGGGGTTGGCGTTCAGGTCTCCGAGGCCACCTGCAAGTGCCTCAGCTGGGCCCGTGTGTCTGCAGGGCCTGCTGTCTGCCCCCTGGGTGGGCGTCCCCCGGGGCAAACACGTCTGCTGGGCCTGAGAGTCCTTAACCACTGGCCAGCTCTCGTCCGTCCCTCTGCAGGCGCTGCTTTATCTGAGGGGAACGTATTTCGCCCTTTATTTCCTGGCTACGCTCCTGATGGTCGTGTATAAAAGTAAGTCACACTCAGAAAGGCAGCTTGCAGGCACAGGTGCCCTGCCTCCTGCGACCAGCTCCACTCTGTTCTCTAGGTCAGGTTTTCACTTACCCTCACGGTTACCTGGTCCTTGACCTGGCTTTGCTGTCTCTGATGGGGATTCTGGAAGCAGCTCAGTTACACTTGGGTGAGTTGACTGAAAACCGTGTGGTACTTGGGATAACACAGTTGCTGACTTTCCGCGTTAACCTGTAAACGTTCTTCATTTTGTAGCGTGGTTCTTAGAGACACTTGATTTAAACTGCTTAACCATTGTTTGTGGGCCTCATCTAAGTGTCAGTAACGATTAGTTTATCCAGAAGCTTTGTCCACAAGACAATACTGGCAGCATCCTTGGTGGGGACACTTCCTGTTTGGAAGGCTATCGGGCGCAAGCCGCTGGGTGACGGACAGCACCGAGATTAGATCCCAGCTTAGCCATCACACCAGGGCCCCACAGTATTCACCTCACCTCCTTCCTCCCCTTCCGTTGGCCTCAGCGGTCAGGAGGCGAAGGATCTGAAAAGTTCTGTCATGTCTCCACCAGGGCTCCCTCAGCCCCCTAGTCCAGCTCCCAGGGCCCCAAGTCTGGAGCCCCTTACAGCACCCTGACAGCCAGCTCCCCACTCCTCATTGCTCACCGCTGGTGTTCAGGCCCCCACGTGCCCCAGCGCAGGCACAAGTCTGTGATGACGCCTGTTTCAAACCGGATGGTGCTGTGCGTGTCCCACTGACCCATCTAAAAAGCGCTCCTGTCGTTGGAATCGCTGATAAACCAAGGACAGCTGTACCTCCAGGCCCCGCACACCTGTGACACCCGGGCAACAGCAAACGGGTGCCTGCTGGGGACTCCAGGAGTGGATGGGAGCCCGATCTCCTCAGCTGTCCTGCTGAGCTGGCTGGGCAGTGGCACCGCCGTTGCTGGGCCCTTGCCCGCCTGCCCTCTTTGAGCCCCCGTGCATGCTGAAGGCTCCCGGCCGGGTGGTCAGCCCACGGCAGCTGGAGCTATGCGTCTTCCATGCTGACCCATTTGTTTGTGAAATACGCGCTTGCTTTGTTTTTTTGTGATACTCCTGAAGTTTTCCAGAATGACCTTAGCCAAGAGTAAAACATTTTTGGAAATGTTAAACAAAATCCCCTCAGTCCACCTGGAATTAGGAAAAGGTGTCAAAATTCAATTGGGCTCTTTTTTTTTCTTTTAAGTTCCTTTTGTGTGTGTGGGGTGGGGGGTAATTAGGCTTATTTATTTAATTTTAGAGGAGGTACTGGGGGTTGAACCCAGGACCTTGTGCGTGTTGAGCATGTGCTCTGCCGCTTGAGCTATAGCCTCCCTGCCGGGATCGGTTCTAGAAATGCAGACTCCCTCTGCCGCCCACACGGCCCACCCGGCCGTGATTAGAGCGTTGTAGCTGCCGCTGGCTTTTCCCCTCTCCTAGGAAAGCATGCCCCTTTTGGAGTTTGCTGACACTTGTCTTTCTTTCTTTTTTAACAAAGGGGCTGGGGATTGAACCCAGGACCTCATGCACGCTAAGCAGACACTCTGCCCCTGAACTGTGCCACCCCCGACACACACACCTTCACAAGTCCCGTGCAGTGGTCACGGCGGCGTCTTCTGCTGGGAGTCCTTGAGCGCCACGTGGTGTGATAAGCTGGCGTTGTCTCACAGCCTAGTCTCCAGGGCCCTCGGGCGCGTACCTCCCAGAGCCTGGCTCACCTGTCACATCTGTTCTGTCCTTCAGGTGCCAAGGGCAACCTGCTGGAGGCTGAGGCACCGCTGGCCGCCAGCCTGGTCCTCACGGTGGGCAACGCCCTGCTGACGGTCTACTTCCTGCTCTGGCAGACCCTGGTGCTGTGGGCGGACTTGGTCCTCAGTGCCACACTCCTGGCACTGCACAGCCTGGAGGCCGTCCTGCAGGTGGTGGCAATTGCAGCCTTTGTCAGCTAAATGGGCAGTGCCCAGGCCCCCAGGACAGCCCTGGACAGGCGCCTCCTCCTGAGAGCTAGACTGTCCCCCAGCCATCACCTCCCTTGCCGCTGACCCGCTGACCTGCTGACTTGCCGTGGTGTCAGAAGCTCAGGTGGTGTGGGGTGGTCTGTAGATCTTCGGTGGAGGTGGGGCCTGGAACCAGGCAGAAGAGGGCGCTGGGGCCAGGGGCTGGGCACGGCAGGAGCTGGGATGGGGCTGTCTCCGAGGGGAATCACAGGGACAGGTGTGCAGCCCCCGCCTTTGGCTGGTGAGGCCCTCACTTCAGTTGCTACCCCGACCCCTGAGGACAAGGGACAGGGCCCTGCTGAAAGCAGGCAGCCAGGCTGGTGCCTCTGGGGGTCTGGCTGCCTCCCTCGGGCGTGGGGTTGGAGGTCCGTGCTCTGTGGGGTCGGGCGTGGAGCTTCGGGACAGCGGTAGGGGACAGGGGCCCTCCACCATCTGCAGGCCCGTCCTGGACCAACAGTGCACTCAGCCTTCCTTGAGAAAGTAAACAGCAGGGCGCCAGGCGGCACAAGGCCCACAAGTCCTGCCCCTTGGGGATTCTGAAGAAAGGTGATCTGCAAACCCCGGGGCTGAGGAGTGGGGGCTAGAGACTGGCTGTCACACTTTGTCCCGGAAGGATTCCAGCCATGGGGTTGGTTTTGCGAGTGCGCTGTGAGTGCTCCGTGAAGAAATCCAAGCGGACGTTTTCTAGTAACTCCTTCTTTTGTTTCAATCGCACATTGTCTGTGTTTAGAACAACCTTGTGTTCAAATATCTGGATATTTTCTCCTCACTTTTTTTAAATAAATGTTTATATTTCCCTGAATTTCTCCTAATTAAAGCCACCTACCTCTGCCAGCGTTCTCCAGGGTTCTCCCCCACCCCACCCCCGTCGCTGGAGCACAGGCCCCGCCCCCACCTCCCCCAGCAGCCTTTGCGTAGCACTTCCTAGTCCTGGGTCCTGGCCCTCCTCCACAGGGGCCCACACTCTGTCTGCCTTGTCCTTTTTTTTTTTTTTTTAATATACAAGAGCCAGAACATTTATGTCTGCCTTGTTCTTGGGGGGCGGGGTTGGGGGGACTCGAGAGACTTTTGGCTTGGGACGAGTGCACGCCTGTAGCCCCGAAGGCCAGGTGGAGGCACCCTCCTGCTTGCCCACCCTGTCCATTCAGCAGTCCCCACATCCTGCTGCCCTGGGCACTTGCCCTGTGGACTCAGGGAGGCTGGGGTGGGAAGGAAGCACCTGCTATTCGGGGGATGCTCAGTCCTGCCCCTGCAAGCCCAGGGGGCGTGTTATGTTGCCGGCCAGGTTCGTAACCTGTCTGGGGGTCTGGGCCAGGCCCTTGACACCCCCGTCACTTTGGCCACAGGGCATAACACACTCAAGGTGGCCACCAACCAGCCTGGGACTCCAGGCCCTGGCTGCATCTTTGAGAGGGTCAGTGCTCCAGATCTGGACCCACTGGCCATCACACTGATTTCAGGCGTGGAGAGTGCCCACCTCAGCCACTCCTTCCCCGTGTGCCTTCCCATGTGTCGCACATCTGGGCTCAGCTCCCAAGGAGGGCCGGGGCAGGCATATGCCCTCTCCCCCGTGTTGTCGGCAGAGTGAGGAGAGAACCAGGAAGCCAGGCCTCAGGGGCAGGGCTGGGCCCGATGGTGAAGGCCACTTTCTGTGCCCTGCATAAGCTCCCCAGTAATGCCCCAGATAGCAGACCTGCCCTGGGGTCCTGGCAATGTGGGAAAGGACAGCACCCCTGACCTTCCAGGACTGAGTGTGCCTCTTCTCTGGACTCCCCAGGAAGTGCTCCGTAACAGCCACAGCAAACACACCAGCTGCCCTGCCCTTCCTGGACCATGACCCTGGGACCCTGCCTCCTGGCACACCCTTTTCTGCTCCCCCCACCCCAGAAACAACAGTGGGAGCCCTGGGGTCCCTGCAGGTGCCTACCACTGCCTGGTCTGCCCTCTGCCAATTCACTTCCTCTTCTCCCAGCTCGGTGGGCAGAGCCATCCTGAGGGTCGGTTCAGGAGGAGGAAAGGACAGAACTGTGGGCAGAGCTTGGGGCCTAGGCTCAGGAGGGTGTCACTGCCCAGGCAGCCTCGAGTCAACTATTTACCCTGCACTCAAGGACAGCCTGGGCCACAGACACCCCAACCCTCTCATCGGCCAACCCCGCCCCTCGGGTGCCCACACTGGGCTGGACCGACACAAAGAGAATTGAGGAGCTCCTAGATGGTGGAAGAAGGAGACCCATTCACCTGGCAAGGTCAGAGCGCAGGACTGCAGGGTCTCTGGCTGGTGATCCTGCCTTTGAGACCCACCCACAGACTGAAGCCTGGCTCTAGAGCTCCCTCCAGACCAGAGGGGCCCCCTCTGAAGAGAATAGGACTCTGCCCTGGGTCCTGGGGTGCCTGAGGCTGGGGGACACCTGGCAGGGTCAGGTCTGACCTCCCCAAGATTCCTCTCCACCCCTCTGGGGCGCATCAGCTCAGCCTGCCCCTGGAAGGTTTCAGAGCTTCACGGTGCAATGTAGCCCTGCACACCCCCGCGATGGATGGGCTCCCGGCCCCGCCCACCCGTCCGTGGGCGCCCCACCTGTAGGAGGGGGTTGGCGCAGGGGACCCCGGAGTAGGTGTGGGGACC